TGATTATCTCAATTTCGGCTAAAAGAATTGACAAAATCCTACACACTGTGCCTTTAAGAAAAATGTTACCAAAATTCTAGTTTAAAAGTTCCCACTAACTTTTTACTGTTATTGAGCTCAATATTCTTACATTTTGCTACGTTTTACAAAATGTTTAATTTAAATGTTATATTTCAATATAAATCAAAATGTGTACATCTAAATGTAAAAATAAATGTTTAAGTTTACATTTAAGGTTTTCAGAAAGGAACGCAGCCATTGCCACTGGTGTGTGGCTCTAATGACATCATCCTGAGATAAAAGCAACTTGTAACCTAATAAAGTTCATTGTGTCTATAAAATCAATCTACTACGTTTTCCTAATTACTAGACACTTTTTTATTTTTTATGTCTGTACAGACATAAAAAATAAAAAAGTGTCTAGTAATTGTAATAGTGATTGTAATTGTAATTGTAAAAGCAAATAGTGCTGCTAAAGCCTCACTACAAAACTTCAAACTCGCAGATGTAGATGTGCCCGTGCTGCMCTTTAAACTGCAGGACCACAGGTACTATCTATATTGTTTTCAATGAACACACTTCGTTTTTTTAAATGTCAYCTTTAACAGCGTTAGCATTTGTTTTTAATCGCAGGATGACGACGTCGCAACGAAAGCCACACATCAACAGCAAAGGTTGTGTTCCATTCAAAACCTCTTAAATATAGTCTTTATCACTGAGCTGCAACCTTTAAAATTAAATTTTTACATTCAGATTTAACATTTAACTTTTAAATTTAACATTTAGTAAAAAATGAACATATTGTAAGAACAGTGAGCTAAATAATGAAAATGTGTTGGTGACATTTAACATTTTATTTTACACTTGGCGCACCATATTAAGGAGACGGATGTAAAAAAAAAAAAGATTAAAACACAATATTTATACTTTTAAACAGGCTGAAATAACATGTGAACTCAACCCAGATGAGCTTTCTGTTTTTGATTAAAATGACAGTCTTTGTCCCTTATAGTCTGAAAACTCAAATAGATCAAAAAGTTGAATAAAAATGAAATAAAACAAGCTCCAGGACAGTAAATGGGCTCCAGCGCTAAATTAGAACCAGCTGTTTCCAAAATCTGGTCCTACCTGGACAAAACTCTGGGTCAAAGCAAAGAACTGCTTGTATCAGAAGCAGGAGGTGGACTCATGAAGGTCCAAAGTATCATTTTAGGTTCTTTAAACACCAGGTTCTGTTTAAGGACCCTGTTTGAATCACAGTGAGTCAGTGAGTGAGTCAGTGAGTGAGTGAGTGAGTGAGTGAGTGAGTGAGTCAGTCAGTCAGTCAGTCAGTCAGTCAGTCAGTCAGTCAGTCAGTCAGTCAGTGAGTGAGTCAGTCAGTGAGTGAGTCAGTCAGTCAGTCAGTGAGTGAGTCAGTCAGTCAGTCAGTGAGTGAGTCAGTCAGTCAGTTTGTAGAGGACCTGCTAAACACGTTGTATAATAAACCACCAACTCTTTGAGAGGTTTTAATGGTTTTTATAGAACAGGACCAGAAGTCTGTCTGGTTCACCTGGTCTGAACTGTTCCAGCCTGAAGCATCAGTTTTCTGCTCTGGTGTTTCTGTTGTGGAGTCAGCCTGACGGCTTCGGGCCTCTTCCACAAATAGATCAACTCCTGTCTCGTTTACTKGACCAAACATTTATGGATCTGTTCTACAACAACCTGAACTCTGGAAACAGGTTCTAAACATCCATCATGACTCAAGGAAACTAAATTAGTTCACAGCGGTTGTCTCGTGTTTTTAAAATCTTTTCTGTTAACCATCTTTTAGGTTTATTCCACAGGAGACACCCTGAAGCTGTTTACAAACAAATAAACTAAAAATAAAACATTACCGAACAATCACCTCAGGCAGAAGGTTTGTTTCTTTTGACAAAGTCATCATCCTTTAATGAGGTTTATTCAGTCAATCACAAGGCGGCCATTTTGGTTTGTTTTTTTTTACCTGACATGCAAGTCCAACATGCTTCATCCTCACTTCACACTCATGCTTGAACCAGACACCACACAGACCATTTAGGATAAAATTAACATTTCAGTGCAATTAACACAGAGACATAAAAAAACACAGACAAGGAAGCTAAATGAAACAACATAAAACTGTTAAACAAGTAAAAGCAACATTTAACAACATTTACTGCAAACGTTTCAGTTTGTGAAACTAATCAGACACGAGCCACAGTCCAGCTGCCGGGCCGAGCCGGGCTCAGGAGGAGAGGGCTGTAAAGACGGGAGGACGGGGGAGCGGGGGGGGGTTCCTGTAACAGAACCGGAACGGGGCCCGGGGCCGACTCACCGGACGCGGCTCCGTGGGCGTAACGCTGGGAGGTCTGGTTCGGAGGCGGCACCTGGCTGTGGCTCTGCTGGAGGATGTTCAGGCATTCTCCCAGGCAGCTGAGCGTGGCGGCCGACGTGGCTTTGAGCAGCAGCAGGTCCTGGTCCAAACACGAGAGYGGGCCTCTGGTCGGCAGAGAGTCTATGGAGTGGACCAGGTTCTTCTGCTGGCCCTCTGCTTGTGTGATCACCTGCAAATAAACAAATAAAAACACACAACTTAAGATTATTAACACAATCAAAGGAACACACAGCCGACTTTAAACAGAATATTTCCTCCAGCCTTTTCTCTCAGAACAGTTAAAAAAATAAAACTGAAGTTTATTTTACTCGCCGGATCATAAACAACTGAAATGTCCCCAACAAAATGCACTATTTACCCTTTGATGGCGTATTAAATTTTTAACTGCACAGCTGTTTTTAAATAATAAAACCAACGATCCTTGTCTCACTGGTGAAGATKTACGTCTTCGGGGGACGGCTTCAGCATCCTTAAAGGACAGGGTCTGTTTTTGTTGGGGTTTTTTTTTGTTTGCAGATTTTGCTGACAAAGAGGAAAAAAAGAAAGTCCAGATTGAATGCACGTTTTCTTCTGCTGACTCATGAATTATAGATGTAATCAGTGGTRTTTTATTGTGATACGAGTCTGAATGAAAGCGGGTTTATTCTTGGAGGTTTTCTGAGAAACCGAGGATGGTTTCAGCCCATTTTTGGGATGATGTTGGATCTGATAATGCAACATTAGCGGGACTCTAATCTAAATGTAAATGTATCAAATGAGCTACATTCTCAGCAGGAAACGTCTAAYGAATGAGTTGATAAATTTTGGGTGTTTCGTTAGTTGGTGCTAAATCTGTTCAGTGTTACTGTTGGGTAAAGATGCATTTTACTATGGGGTGCCATTTGTAAAGTTACACAGTCAAAAATTACCACCAATATTTTTGTTTTATTTAGCCTTATTATTATTACTATTATTATTACTATTAT